ATTTAAAAAAAAAAAAAAGAAAAAAAAGAAAAAAAAAAAAAAATCCGTACGGAATCGCCGATTCACTGTTCGGACTCGCCGATTCCGTACAGTGAAATCGGCGATTCACTATACAGAATCATCCGGTTCTCTCTAGAACCGGACGATTTCCGATTTTTTGGGCGATCCGGTCCCATTTCACGATTTTCGAGTCGAACCGGGCGAGTCCGGTTCGACTCGGCGTTTTTTAAAACGCTGGTATCAAGGCATTCTATTTTGCCAATTATTAATTACCTAAATTAATTAAATTAATTATAAATAAAAAAGTTACTATATTCATTAAAGAAAAAAAAAAAAAAAGGTTGACGCTCGGGGAAAAAGCCCTCGTGTTAACCATGTCCTAAAGAAGTCGACCATGTGTATGGAAGTTATAACGATAAAAAGTCCATAGTCTTCCTTTTACATCGATAAACTTCAAAAAAAATAAAAAATAAAAAATAAAATAAATGGGTAAACCCTGTCCACGAAATTCAAAACTCTCCCGCCTCATGAAACCAAAAATTTCCGAACTCAAAACCATTCCTTCATTTCCCCTTAAGCTAGAAGGGGAAGCACAACAATGGTGATTAGCACTTACTAAAGGATGCAATGGAGTTAGGGCTTATATCAGTGGACAAATGGACTGTCCAAGCTCAGGCCTATTTTCTCACTCACCTTCATGCTGATCACACCAATGGTCTCTCTGCAAAATGGGCGAAAGGCCCTCTTTATTGCTCTCCCATCACTGCAAAACTGATTCCTTTAAAAATTCCTGGTTTAAATCGCTTATTGATTAGGGTTTTGGAGACTGGAAAAACCTACTCGCTTGAGTTGGTGTCTTCGAGACCTGGACCGAAGGTTCTGGTTCAGGTGACCTCAATTGATGCTCACCATTGCCATGGTAAGAGAGCTTCTGTATCATAGGAACGATGATTATCGAATGGTGACCTAGTTTTGTTTTGTTTTTTTGTTTTTCCAAATGAAGTGGAAAATATGCATATGAGTCGAAAAAATGGAGTTTTGATTCTATTTTTGAGTTTCTGTAAAGTTTATTGGAATTGGTTTTTAAGATCAAGGAGCATTTGTGCGGATTTCAAAGTTATATAGTATAGTTCCAGCAAATGCGCAAATAGTGACAGTTAGATTTGATAAAAAGGCTATCCATGAAGACTGTTTCTGTGGAACAATAAGGACTTTCTGATGCTTTAAGATACATCTTTATGCTTGCCATGGTCCTATGAATGAGGTTGATTGTTGAGTCATTTGGTTTACTGGATGATGGTGACTGATTACTGAATATATCTCACCTTCTGATCATTTCTATGTATCAGATGTGTTTTCATACCATTTGGAACTACTAATCCTTTGTCAAGGTCTACTAAAAAAATACACCCATTTTACCAAGTTAGTTATCACTCATTAAATGCTAATTTGTTAGTTTTGTATATGGAGGCTATTCCCCATAACCCAATTAGTATTTTCAATATCATTGAACCATTTAGTCATGGATTTTGCTTGTGATCAACTTCTACATTTGATTTACACATTCCTGTATACATGCATATATTCAACTTTCATTTGTTTGCAAACAAATGTCTTAGTTTGAGGCTTTGAGCAGAATTCAAGAACTCAGCTGAGTTGATTCAGACCCGGCCTAGGCAGCCTTCTGAGGCGAGTATAATGCACATAATTGGTTATAAAAAGAACTCATATAAATGAATCAATAATAAATATGCTTCTATAAAAAATGGATTTTATACATTGAGACCATTTATCTTTGATACAAGGAGATCACAGTTACTCATAGCCATTAGATGTTAAATTGGATGGTTTGGGGTGTGTCACTAAGTTCGAGAATTTGTTTTTTGAACTTTCGAGTCTAGTCAATCACACTCTTACAACCACCTGATTTGGAATCTGAGAGAGAGATTGTGATTTTCTTGTACCAAAAGTAAATGGTTTGACCTCCATAAAAAATTTATGTTTAGTTATGATGATTTGTGAATTTTTCTTAATATACGCTCTATGTTTCTATTTTTCCCTTTTTATGGAATTTTCTGAAATTTTCAAGCTATAAATCAAAATCTGCCATATCCTATACACTTTTTTTTCATCTTTTTTAGACATTGATTTAGCAATTTTTGAGACCTTTTGGGCTCGTATATGACTTTCGGCTCAGGCAGGTTTGAGTTTTGAGCCCGAGACGAGTTTTTGACGACCAAGTTTGAGTGCTCAAAGGTCTTGCAATTTACTGCTTTTTGAATCTTGATCCTTACTATCAATAAATTGATCAGGTGCTGTTATGTTCTTGTTTCGTGGGGAGTTTGGTTGCGAGCTTCATACAGGTGATTTTCGATGGGAAACCACGAATGACAAGGAAATACCTGGCAAGGAAATGCTCCTTGAGGCTCTCAAGGGGGATAAAGTTGATATTCTCTACTTAGATAACACTTATTGTAATCCTTCATTTTCTTTTCCTCCACGCCATGTTGCTGCTCAACAGGTATACAGTGATTATACACTGGATTCATTTTAAGATTGTTTGGTAGAAATGCTCAAATCTATTATAGCGTCAGCTTACTTGGTCATTGACTGCTAAGTAGGTAGTCTTGGATGATGCACCCATTGCTATTTGTTATTTATGTAATGCCTTATGGTTTCAGAAATGAATTACTATGCTAAGTAAACATGAGGATGTTGAACATGATTATTATGAATTTAACATAGAGAATTTAGTTGAGCTGTGCATTAGGAAAATATGCATATGCATACTCATTGGGTTGTAAGTTTATGATTGTAATATTAACAATATAAGCAAATAACTCAACAGTATGAGGAGAGCCCATCATGTATTTTTTCAGAAACTGAAAGGCTTGTGAAATTAGTTCACTTCATTGGATACTCAGTGTTTAACTCTTTACATCAAAAATCTATACTCATGGATTAGAGGAAATCAATAATGATTTTGATTTTATTAATATTATATTTAATCCTGCGAGATTTCCAATTTCAATAGTTAATTTTGCAATAGGTGATGGAAACCTATGTGTACTGGGATCCTGCCAATCTGGCTCAGGCCATCCAAAGTCAGATTTCTCACACAAAGAACAATATTGACAGGACCTTGTATAATGAGGTTCCTTTCATCCAACACTAGTTCAACTTGAAAATAATTGTACAAGAATAGAACCATACGCAATCATTACAATTCTTTTTTAGGAACGAGTACTTTGGCCTATACTGGGTGCATTTCGAGGTATGGTCTAATCACCTGAAATCCCTTGCGAGGCCCCTCTACTCTTTGTTGGCCCAGAAACTAAATCATGAAATTAAGTGTTTCTTGTCTCGTTTTCACTTCTGCATGGGCCATAGCATCCTCATCTAATTAACTCACTCGAACCCCTTCTTTTGAATGTCTACTTCATTGACATGCATTTGAGTACACATCCTTTTATAACATTTTTACTCAGAAGTTGCCTCAGAATTAAAAAACTAGTTTGCCGTGTGTAGAAGTAATGATCATCTCATGTAATGGGTAGTTATCTTAGAAATATTGCACCACTATATAGGTGTGTTGTGTTTGTTATTTTTTTGTTAAATGTTGTATTGGAGCTTGGTTTTGACAATCTGGGTGTGGTGTGAAGGATTGGAGAATGAAAAGAACAAAAAAAAAAGTGAAAAAAAGAAAAGGGAAGTAAAGCTAAAAAAAAGGAAGGAAAAGAATGTTTGTTCTAGTTTGTCATGCCAAAAGAAGGTGCAAGGGCCCCAAGTGAAGGAATATTTGAGTGAACATGCTAAGTGAAGGCATGTAAAAAATGTTTAAGAGAGAGAGAAAAGAAAGAACTATAGAGTTAAAGCCATGTGACAACATAACAAATAAATAAAAATAATAATTAAAAAAGAACTATAGAGTTAAAGCCATGTGACAACATAACAAATAATTAAAAATAATAATTAAAAAAAACTAAGTGTTGATATTCCCTTTTTAGAAAAGACTTCAGGAACTCTTGGCAATTTCCGCTCCAAAATGCAAGCTTTGTGAATTTTGCCAAAAGCTAAAGATTAAGGAGCCTATTTTACAAAATTACCAAGGAGGGACCCGACCATAATCCTATATTTGTTCATGAGTAAGAAACAATGTAGGAAAAATTCTAACCTCCCGGTTTGACCTGGTTAGATCGGAACCAGCCACTGGCTGGTTTCGGTTTCGGCCGGTTTTGGTGGACCGACAAGGTATTTAAAAAGAAATTCAAAAAAATTATATAAAATCTAAATAATAAGGGATTTTATTTGTAATGTATTTTTTAATGTTTTTTCATCATTTTGGCAAAGAATGAAAATTGTTTTGGCCATTAATACTTAATTTTATATTTTCCCATCTTTTTTAAAAAATTTAAAAAATACCCCTAGGCACAAATCCATTCTTTAAATTCCATTTTTTCATTAATTTTCAACTTCATTTGGATGTGCTTTAATTGATCATAATTTAAATATAGGGAAAATATCTCCATACTTTTTATTTTTAAGTTTCATTTCACAATAGATCTAAGTTTTTAAAAGATATCTTGGGACATAAAAATTGTAGATTTTATTTCTTCTAACCCGTTGAGTTAATTTAAACCTATTTTTTTAGATCAAACAAATTAAAAAATACATACCCTTTTTAAAAGCCTTCCTCCCAAACTCCTCTCTCTTTCTCTTTATCTGTCTCCCCGCTCCCCTTCTCTCTCTCTCTATCTGTTTCCATCTCTCTCCCCTCACTCTCTCTTCCTGCTCTCTCTCTTCACGTTTCCCATCTCTCTCCCCTCATTTTTACGAGCTTCACAAAACCCACAAACCCAATCCCCTTCTTCCTAGCGCCAAATAAGTGTGCAGGTTTCAGCATCTCTCCCTGCCTCTCTCTAGCTTTGGGGTTTGATCTGATCATCTGTGTGCGTGTGTGTTCCTCCCTCTCTCCTTGTGTTTTTTGGATTTCAGCCTTTTCCCCTTCCTTTCAATCTATCAAAATATTAATTTATTTATCTATGTTACTATCTCTCTCTCTTCCTTTTGTATTTTTCAGATCCTTCCCTCTCTCTCTTAACATATTCCACCCTATGTGATAGGGTGAGCAATCAAATAGGCCTTGAAGCTGCAGCTGAAGCAACTGCCGAGTTCTTGTGCAAGGCAGTGAAACCAATATTGGTGGGGGGACCTGAAACTCAGAGTTGCAAAGGCATGTGAAGCATTCATGGAGTAGCTGATGCTTGTGGCGGTTATGCCATCAGCTAAAGGCCTTGTCCCTGAACACCACCTTTATTTCATTGGGTCTTATTGGGGACTATGAGCTTGCACTTTGTGCAGAGATTGTGGAATCAACTGATGCTTATGGTTTTTTTCATTGGGACCTATTGGGGGCCTGAAACTCAGAGTTTACAAAGCCACAAACCCAATCCAGAAATTGCAGAAGCTTCTGGTTCAACAAACAACCTCTTTCTCTTCCTACATTCTAATATATCTGGAGAGATCGGAGACAACGAAAGCTCAGACAATCTTTCCCCATTGTTTTTTTGAATGTGGGATTTTCGCTATTTTCACCATCATCAACCAAACCTTTTTTCTCTTGAATAGCCTTTGGCTTTCTAGTACCAGTTCTTTTCCCATTTTTAGAAGGTTTGGGCGTCTCAAATGAATGAGTGTAATTCACTGTGCATTGTATGGCAGAATGTTCTGGATTGAACGTGAGCTTTCTTGCAGATCTTCGAGGGGCAGGGTTTGCTGGTGTGGAAGGAAATGCTAGATTGGATGATGGAGAAATTAGGGTTTCCTGATCTTTGAATTTTAGGGTTCGACGGTTTTTGGCATTTGTAGGGGCTTCGGCCATGGCCTCCTTTATAGAGAGAAGGGCTTCATGGAGGTGAGAGGCTATCAGGAGGAGGAGAGAGAGGTGTTTGGATAAACATGAGAGGAAAGAGATAATGAGAGACACAGGAAGAGAGAGAAAAAGAGCAGTTTGGGTTATATAAGTGAAGAGAAAAATGATTGGGCTTAGAAAGAGCATGTCTGTCTCATATTTGCTTAGGTTAAAAAATAGGTTTAAAGTGGCAAGGCGGTAGAAGATATCTTTTGAAACTTTTGGTTTATCAAGAAATGAAACCTAAAAATAGGAGATATGGAGATATTTTTCCTTAAATATACTGTTCATATTTTATTAGATTTTTTTGTATTTTTTTAACACTTTTTTATGGCTTGAGACATGCCCGGTTGGACCGGTTGAATTGACTGGTTTACTAGTTGAGCCGGTTGTGCAGCCCATTTTTCCATATTGCAATTGACTAAAAAAGAGGAAATGATTGTAATTGAAGATGATGAAGAAGAAAATATGAAGATTGCAAGAGAAGTATTGATTTAATCAATTGAAAGAGCGTTTGAAAGTCTTGAAGCCACAATATTTCCAATGAGGAAAGAAATTGAAATTCTTAGCTATACTACTGCAGATATTGTACTAGCGATTCAACAAGAAAAGGATTTTGCATCAAGGGGGAGTGTTGGAAATTTATGTAAAGCAATTAGTTGTTGTAGTGTGTATTACTGGTGGTTATCTTATGTAATGGGCAGTTATTGTAGAGTGGTTAGTTATTATGTAATGGGTTGAATGAGTTGTTAGTTATTGTAAATGTGAGTAGCGATTGAATGTGTTGTTATTTACTGTAAATGGGGGTAGTTATTGCTCTAAATGAAGTGAAGGCCACTTCTAAGGTAGTTATATGAACCTTTATTTAAAGGGGTGAAGCAAGTGACTGAACCTTTATTTAAAGGGGTGAAGCACGTGAATGAAAAGAGGTGTGTGCTTCCATTTACATGAATGAAGTCGACATTATAAAAGGTGTTGCACAAGAGGTAATAAGGAGCACTTGCAAATTCATGTCCAATAGTATGATGGTCTTGGGCATGATTGCATTCACTAAATGGTGCATGAAAACCTTATCAATTGTTGAACATGTTTAACATGAATTCAAATTCCGAAACCATGGTTCTTCACTTTATGGTTTTCTTATGGTGTTCGAGTAGGTTTTGAACATGTCTCCTTCTTCAGCTAGAAACTTTAGGATTCTGTATGGTAGCAGAGAATCTTTCTTAATAAAAATGTCTCTTCTCCGGTCAGAGACAAGAAATCCAGCCAAAGTACACCACAAAACATTCAAAGGTGCTAGTTGCCACAAAGATAGTGTTCCAAAAGATTGAAAAATCGTTTATGTGGCTATTATTTCTAGAACCACATGTATGCTGCAATCCACTTGGATGACTCCAGGTTCTAATTTTGGTAGCCATTAGATGCATACACAGAAATTGGGATTTTCCTTGGATAGCTAAGAAGCCCTATACTTGGGCTTTCTCTATTTGATTTAAACATGGGGAACTTCCAAAAGCATCCTTCTATAGTTCTGGATCACGCAGTGATTTCTCACTGTTATATGCTGGTTTGGATATCTTCATTTTAAAAGTTGCCAAATGATTTCCTACTCCCTCGGGGGTATACTATCAATTTACTCCCTCGGGCAAAAGACATGCTAGGGATGTTCTTTAGACCTCAAATTTTGTGGACGTAATCTCTAGCAACCCATAGAGTAATCTCAACAAAAAAAATCTCTGAACTAAATGCTATATGTACTAAAAAAACTAATGCCTCAAGATGGAATAGAAACCATTTAATTTTGAAGGGTTTGATCTGTGTCACAAACTCAAAATTCAAATTTTTTTCTTTTAAAAATAATCTAGTACTTTTTATGTGGTTCCCAAAATTTTAAACTAAAATAATCCTCCTAAATATAGGCGTTTTGAGCAAGGGAGTATATGTACAGTGTGATCCTGCAGGAGTATAGTGTACGCATTCTTAAAAGTTTTTTTCATTTCCTGCTTTATTTTCGTACTTTGTAGTCACACCTCCTATGCTATATAATCATGCTTTTCATGTTTGTACAGCAAGTTGTGCATAACTTAAATCACGGTGGCATCTTTTTGTGGAATCTTAAACATGATAAACTTAACTGTAAACATGGCCTGCTTAAGCTTACTCCTGTCCTCATTTAAATTTCCAGTTCAAAAGAAGTAATCCTTATGCAACGCACTTTGGCTTCAATCGTCATATCTGTATTTGACAGTTCTATGGCAGGTCATTGATGTCATTTCCTCTTATCCTGAGCGTGACATTGTCATTGGCATTGATTCACTCGGAAAAGAAGATCTCTTGCTTCGTATTTCAGAGGTGTTAAAAACAAAGGTATCTGTTTCCTTGTATTACATAGTCATGATTTTGCAATTCCTGAAATGGCAGGTGACCTTCCAGTAAGCCGTAGCTAATTCATTGTTGGAGTCACAGGGGTGTATTCTATGATCCATTTTGAGAGACCTTAAATAAGGGTTTATAGGTTGTGATATTGGGAATATGTGCTTCTTAAACATATTTGCTCTTGCATTTAAATTGAACAACAATCATTGACTTGTTGATAACACAAATAACGAGTGTTTGACATGTCTCCTTTTGGCAATAATAAATATATGCTTAGTCATTTGTCCATTTTTCTCTTTAATGCAGCTTCTCTAAATTATGCTTGCTGATTTTTATTTGGTGGATGTTGTTCTTTATCCTACATAGATATGGGTGTGGCCAGCGCGCTTGCAAATGATGCACCTTCTTGGCTTCGAGGAATCTTTTACAGCACAAACTTGCCTAACCAGGGTGCGTGCTGTTCCTCGTAACAGTCTCACTGTTGGTATGCTTCAGGCTCTGAACACGGTTCGTCCCACTATTGGTATTGTCCCTTCTGGACTACCATGGGGCCTGAAAGCTATCAAGAAACAATTCTCGTCACTTGGTTGTATTCCACCATCTTCCCCTGTTAATTCAAGCCAGATGGATGAAACCACCAGTTCAGTAACAAGGGTTCATCAGTATATCTATAAAGTTCCATACTCTTTGCATTCTTGCTTCTCTGAGATTCAAGAATTCATTAAGCTTGTTCAACCCTCCATCATGATGGGCAATTTGTCTTCATCTTTCTGTTATGTCAACCCCAATCATTTCTTTGGATATATGTGTAGAGATATTGATGCATCAGCTCACTGCAAATATCTCAAACCAGAATGTATAGCAGAAGGCAAAGTTGTATATGGTGAATCTACTGTGGAATGTGCACAGTTCAACACTGTGATGATCAACAGAGTAAGAGCTACTAAATTGTCTCGTTTGCGCATGAGAATAAGCTGGGTAAATAAAATGAGGAGAAAAAGACGTGGTGCGAAGCTTGAATACGTGGAAAGTTTTGGTTGATCTATGCGGTTTGGATGGAAGGACACAGTTGAAATCTTGTTGTTATATGCTGAACCTTTCTTGTTGGTAAAGTCCTTTCTCTAACTGCTGTTCCTGTATGTTAACAAGCACATTTGATTGCACATGTAAATTAAATTCAGGCTTTTTTATTTTTTTTAATTCCTAAGTCAAAATGTGAATATTGCATTTGTTTTGGTATCTGGATTTCTAGACGCTGCATATTTTCATTGCTGATGAACTTTCCTATGCTTCTAATCTCTTGTTTTCTTGCTGCATTTTTCTATGAAATAATCTCAATGAAGTACTTCATGGCAATTGGGCTCTTGAGTTTGGGTGCTTGTAATCTTTAACCATGTTGTGCTGCTTGGCCGTACTGCTTTAATATTTTATTCCAATCTATCCATGTTGTGCTGCTTTGCCAGAGCTGCTGCTTTAATGTTTTTTTGGGTGATTCAGAGGGGAGAGGGCCCTTACCGTGGTAGGAATTGAGCTTAGGACATAGCGTTGCAAACAGTCAAGCACTAACCAATTAAGCCCGGGCTCTTTTCCTGCTGCTGCTGTAATATCTTATATCAATCTACCTTTAGTTCCTCTATTGTTAGCACATGGCTAGCATTCTATGCTTTCTCCCATAGTACAGCAAAGAATATTCTTTCTAGTTAACAATTTCAAGAAAAAAAGAATATTCTTTCATAAACTGAATTGGCAAATTTTTTGGCATTTGATGCCTTGTCAAGTAATCAGATTACACACATGATTTCTTTAGAGCTTTCTCCATAAGAATATAGTGGCAGCTTGGATATACTATGCTTTATGTTCTGGTATCTTTTCAATATGAGTATTTTGAACTATTTCAATTGGAAAAAGATATTATTCAAAGTTGACTTCAAGTCAATGAAAATACAACATGATCAGACAATGAAGATTTGAAATTGGGTTTTCTATGATTGGCATACAAAGATACCTATAAAAGTAGCCCGGGAAGTTCAGTGGATGTGTAGCCACATTTTCTACTTTGAAGTGGAAAACATGCAAAATCCTTGTCGATAATAGTTTCACAAGTAAGAGCTTGATTCATCTATTTTTTGATAGTAAATCACTGATTAATTTCCAAGTTGACTAGTGCATATCACATCCTGTACAAGTATGAAGTGTGTACATTGTCAAATAATTGAGATGGAAAAATTAAAATATAACTGAAGTATGAAAGGATTAACTTCATCTCATTTATGATATACTAAAGTATGAAATTGTCCACAACCTCGTTATTATGCTCGATAAGGTCTTTGTTCATTCAAAATTTCACATATCTATAACTTAAATTCAAGGGGTTTGTTTCTTACTTTCATTTACCGACATTACATTGTGAGGAGCTTTCAGTGAGTGTTTTCAGTCAGTTTTGATCAGCATTTTCTTAAATCTGTCACTTGCTTTGCAAAAGTTCCTAGTGATGTGATGTATTATTTGGTGGTCATGTTCTCTTGTGACCTTGTTTGGAGAGATTTTTTTCACCCTAAATTCTACTTTAGTAGCTGTTTAGGGGTGTATTGTGACACCCAAACATCATCTATGTGGTGGGTCATATGTTGCATGCACCATGTGTTGGATGATGTTTCTAGGGACTCGAACGCATTGCTAAACGATCAGTGTGGTCTGATGAGATGCCCTGGATGATCAATATTCATTTCCCATGTCCAATTGTCTGAGGGAGAGAAAATGCGCTCATCATGCAGATGGTAGCAAGTGTCTTTGTTTCTCAATCCTGGTTCTTTAGACGCCAAATATTTGACATATAATTTAGAGAAGCATGCAATGTGACAGGATCAAAATTGTACGACTGTTTGATGGTATGGTCATCTTGCTATTGTCACAAGTTCTACGCGTACTTCTGATTCGTGACTAGATGAACTCTATTTGTGTGTTTGTTGATTGCATATGAGGAAAATCACATTGCATGTTGTAGGGAACCACCAAAGCCTCTTGTTTACTCAAAATGTGATCAATAAAGAAAACAAATAAATAACGATGCACACATGCACACATCGAACAACCAATGTTCGTCACACTAAAGGGACTGGGTTTATTTAGAGTTTGGGGTCACATTCCTAATGTACCAGTACATACTTTCTTTGTTATATCTCATTTGTAACATTACAACAAAATATCTTTGGTTAAAATATCTTTGTTTAACCAATTATATATCTGGAACGAGTAGAGGGGAAGAATACAAATCATAGGAAAGAAATACAAGATAGGGTAAATGGTACATTTTCTTCGGTATTTTTACCCTTATGCCTTGCTTCTACAATTCCCTATATTTGAGAGTTGTATTTTCTGGTTTGCTGCCTACTATTTTTGAACTTACTTTCTTCTTTGGGTTCCTTTCTAGCTTCTTCTCTCTCCTCATCATTCCTTTATATAAACTTTCTTGAAGATTTCTCTTGGTGCAGAGTACTGTTAGTATGTGAATGAGCCACATTGGGCAAGGTTATCAAATGCGGGGTGCATACCCAAAATCATTCCCATATGGGATTTCTTCTTTCATGAGGGCATTTTTATCCTAAAAAATAGGCTTTTTATGGAGATACATAAAAAGCATATTTGGAGAGAAAAAAAGAAGAAGATAAGATAGAGATAAGTTTGGCGGATTGAAATTAGGGGTTTTTGTACAAAACCCTGACATCATTGTAGCCTCATATGAGGCTAGTTTTTTATCGGCTTTTTTTTGTGGTAACAGTCTTGGTTGACTGTGAAAGGACTTATGATAAAACACGGTGTATATATTTTTTTAAAAAAATTCTTGACCTCTACTAGCAAGGGGTTCCACCCCTTTGCCACCCACAAAGACCAGAGGTCTTACGTGACACCAAAACATGATGCAACTTGGAGAGAGAGAGAGAAAATTGGGGCATGCCTTCCCTTTGGAAGAGAGCTAAATTTTGGGTATGGAGAGAGAAAAGAGAATACATATCTCATTTTATGAGGGAAGACATCTTTTTATAGATTTTCTATATCATAGATTTTGCTTCAATTCATAGGGTCCAATCTCAACCGTCGATCTAAGGAGACTTGTGGGACTTATGGGGTGAGAGATTTGAGCCATCCGTCTCTTTGATCCACCATCAAGATTCAAAAAGATGAACTAAAGCCTTATCATCCCTTTCCTAAATCTATTCCCATTAAATAAAGAAAGCTTTTATTTTAATATATCAAATATTTAATTATTGAATCAAGATTGCCATTAAATAAAGAAAGTTTATATTTTAATATATCCAATCTTTAATTATTGAATCAACCCATCTTAATTCAAAGATTTAGTAAATATCTCAAATATTCAACCTTATTATGGCTATGCCCAAAATATAAACCAACAAGGGATAAACATTCTTCCCAAGAAAATACGTGAATGGGTAGCGAGTGTCACCCTTTTGGTGCCACGTGTGTGCCCCACCTAATCCACATGTATTTAAATTTTGGGCCCCATATTTTATGGAGGTCCCATATATTTTTAGAACATATTTTATTTCATATTTAGAATTTTTTAAATATTATATTTTATTTAAAACATTGAAAACATAATTTCTCTTAATTTATAAATCTAAATGATAAAAAAATAAAATATCATAAGATTTACAAAAATTCAAATAAACATTTTAAAAATCACATAGCATAAAATTAATTAATTTTGATGGGAATCATATCGATTAGATCTAGGAATTTATCGATATATGGGAGCACTCCACCTTCAAATGAGAATCACGATCCGTCGAATTTTCTCAAACTGACCCAGCAATTCCCATGACCCACATTCTACTGCAGGGGCTCATGATTAGACCACTAAAGTCAGTTAATAGATTAGGGGACACAATCCTAGTTTATGTATTTCAGGTTCTCCTCTAGGGATAAAAAAGTCATGGCCCTCCAGACCATGATGCAACCATGACTCTATGATGCATAGGGTTAATCTCTCGCACATGTACACGCTTCACCTCATTTGACGAATCTCAAAACGACTATCTATGTACATGCCATGTGATGGTATAATGATGAGGTTTTAGCCCTGTCTCTAAAGGCTATTCATCACACGCATGGTCCACACAGTCTTTTGGCTCTCATCTAGGCATACTTCGACTTCTTCAAGGGATAACCCACTAAACCCTTCTCGGTAGATCCCTATGATCAGGTATCTTGGGCATTTTTGGCCTAGCTCGTCGAGCCTAGTCTGAGTATCAACAAATAACATTTGCTTAGTATGGTCCACAAAAAGACCACACTCCCATTGACTTTATGTTCCACTATATAAAATGCTCATACAAGCTCTCATAAAGCCTTTAAAGGCCACATAAGCCCAATAGACGGTGACGAAGAGATGAATCGATTGATGGTGGCATTGTGATAGAAAATTTTATTTGAGTTTTTCTTGCCAATGTATGCGGTAATTTCTATTAAACTCTAAACTTGTAAATTTCTTCCATTGATAGTGAATGCATACTGGCCCCTTGCTCGTGGATGTAGTCCATTATGAGTTAACCGCATAAATTCGTATGTGTTTTCTATTTTTACTTGTATTGTGGTTTGGTGATTTCTCATTTTTATTTTTTTTATGTTTCGATATATTTTTTAAATGTATTGTACATATTATTGTTTTTGGGTATTTTATTTGGGTATTAGAATTATTGTTGTGAGGTGCTTACCACATCAAGTATGGATTTAGGTTATCCCAATTTTCCAACAAATGGTATCATAGCTCAAGGAAGTGGTGTAATATTTTTTGGAAAATGGCTACTCACAAGTTTGCGGTGGAGAAGTTTAATGGGAAAGATAATTTTGAAACTTGAAAATTAAAATGCGAGATTTATTGGTACATCACGGACAACACAAGGCATTACTTGAAAAAGATAAGAAACCGATAAATATGACAAATGATAATTGGGGGGAACTTGATATGAAAGCATGGGTCACCATTCGCTTGTATTTAGCGAATAAAGTGTTGTTTAATATTGTTGGGGAAAAGACAATAAAAGATTTGTAGGAAAAATTGAAAAGTTTTTATCAAACAATACCTCTCATAAATTGAAATTTCTTAAAAAGAAAATTATATTCTTTGAGAATGAAAGAGGGTGCAAAAGTGTCAGAACACTTAAATAATGTAATAACATCATTTGTCAATTTGAAAGTATTGGTGTGAGATTGGAGGGTGAAGATAAGGCGGTCACCTTAC